AGAGTTGTCCTCATTGTAACACATTTTTATTTGCAACAGGTCATACGAGCCATGTACCAGTAGGCTTATGATGGTTCTCAGGGTGAAGGATTTCCACATCCGTGCCCTTTAAAAAATTTTATTTTGTAGTTTGCATAAACACATTTGACACAGATTAAATTGTGCCCATTGCTTCTTGTCCTGTCACCTGACGCAATTGAAAAGAGCCTGTCTCTGTCTTCTTTGAACCTTCCCTTCACATATTTGCACACACTGATGAGATTGCCCCTGAGCTTTCTCTTCTCTAGGCTAAACAGTCCTAGCAATCTCTTTTGTCTCCTGTGTACTTCTAGAAGCCCTTCTTGTTGCCCTTGACATCACTTGCCAGATTTAACTCCATGTGTGCTTTGGCTTTCCTAACCTCATCCCTGGATGCTTGGGCAATGTTTCTGTATTCCCCACAGGTTATCTATCCTTGCTTCCACCCTCTGTATGCTTCCTTTTTGTGTTTGAGTTTGTCCAGGAGCTCCTTATTCATTCACACAGGCCTCCTGGCATTTTTACCTGACTTCGTATTTGTTGGGATGGACTGCTCTTGACTTGGAGCAAGTGACCCTTGAATATTAACCAGTTTTCTTGGGCCCCGCTTCCCATCTCATGGTCACTGCAACCAAGGCTACCTTTGATCTTCACATCCCCAGCGAGCCCCTCATTGTTGGTGACTATGAGGTCCAGGGGAACACCTCTCCTTGTTGTCTCCTCTATCACTTGGAAGTTGTCACTGATGCCCTCCAGGAACCTTCTGGATTGCTTATGCCCTGCTGTGTTGTCCCTCCAGCAGATATCAGGGTGGTTGAAGTACCCCATGAGGACCAGGGCCTGCAAAAGTGAGGTTCCTCCCAACTGTCTGCAGAGGGCCTCATCTGATTTTTCTTCCTGGTCAGGTGGCCTATAGCAGACACTGACTACAATGCCACCTGTATTGGTCTGCTCTTTTAATCTTTACCCATAAACTTTGAGGTGTCTCCTCATCCATCCCCAGGTAGAGCTTCATGCACTCCAACTGCTCTTTCTCAGAAAGAAAAACTCCCCCTCCTCATCTTCCCAACCTGTCCTTCCTAAAGAGCCTGCATCCCTCCATTGCAGTATTCCAGTCATGGGAGCAATCCCACTGTGTCTCCACATTCCCAACAAGATCATAGCCCTGCAGTTGCACACAGATCTCTATCTCCTCATGTTTATTCCCCATACCGTGTGCATTAGTGTACAGGCACTTCAGAGAGGCACACCAGCATGTTGACTTCCTAGAAAGGGTTTTGGGGATTTCTCCATAATAATGCCTTGTAGTCACTTCCTTGCTTACATGCAAATGCTGGAGGCAGGCAATGATGAAGTTGCAACAAGAAGTCCGAGGGCAATCAAGAGAGACTTCAGGGTCTTGGGATGACGGGTTAAGGGATCAGGAGCACAGGTAGTGTTCTCTACCCTTCCAGTTGCGAGGAATAATGAGGGAAGAAACAGGAAGAGCCAGCAGATCAATACCTGACTCTGAACCTGGTGTCACTGGCAGAATTTTGGGTTCTTTGATCATGCGTCTGTCTACAACAACACCAGACCTGCTGGCGACAGATGGGGTACACCTGTCTCAAAGGGGGAAAAGTATCTTTGCACAGAAGTTAACAGGGCTCATTGAAAGAGTTTTAAACTAGATTGGAAGGGGGAAAGGGATAAAACCTGTAGCGATGGATTTGCCCTATATAGGATGGAAGAAGTCCTGCCAGAGATGGACTGGTGAAGGAAAAGAAGGAAACAGCTCAAATGTTATAGAAACAGAAGTTTTTAATGTTGTTAAAACAGATCTTAAGATGGTTTTTCTGTATTTTGCAAAGTCACTCTGTCTCCTTCCCGACACCCCCCTGTGAAGGACCCTTATGCAGGAATGTCCTGGGAAGATACCCTGAGGTCTTCCCATTGGCTTTTGTTCACCTCTTTCTATTGGTTATTAACTCTTTACCTGATTGGGTTTTTCTGTAGTACCTTGACCTTATAATTGGTCCCTTTCCAATCCCCCTGAAAGCCATATAAACCCCCAACCCCAATAAACTTCCTCTTTCGTCCGTCCCTCAGCCGTGGTCCTGTGTGTCCTTACAGGCTCATAGAGTCACGTGCTTGAGGGGTAGTTTGGGAGAGCATTACACCTCCAGAGAATGGTTTAACACCCAAGACCTGAAGGTGCCCCCCTCCAAATCAACCGTCGTAAAAACCAGGTTGTCCCAGTTTAAATGAGACAAGGGTCTTTTGCTGAGGATGGATTAGGAGGAAAAGACCCAAACTTCTCTTTCCAAGCAATTATAAATCCAAAATTAAGAGGCTTTGATTGAAGGAAAACAAATTATGGAAAAGGGAAAATAACAGCCCTTTATTAAAGGTATGTGTGTATTAACAGGAACACGGAAAAAAAACCAAGTAAAATAACTAAGCAATACTCCTATACCCACCAATAATCCCCTTTAAGAACAAAACCGATAAACCGGCAAGAAGAAAATCAAACAGTTCAATTTTTTTGCACCCTTTGATGCAGTTCCAACCACAGTCAGCAGGGGGCACCGTCGGGTCACTGGAGATGCAAAAACTTGTAGTGTCCTATTGTAGTCACCAGGTGGCGCTGTTGGATCACTGGAGGAAGCAGAACTTGTAATGTCCATTGCCCATCACCAGGCGGCGCTATGGAATCCCTAGTCACCGCCCTGTGGGATGGGGAAAAAAAAACAAAACAGTACTCTCCAGGTACAAACCAAAAACCAAAAAAAACTCGGTTCCCCTTCCCTTCCCACACTGGGGAAGGAGAGAGAGAGAGGGACTGGGGGGGGAAGGGGGAAGGAAAAGAAAAAAAACAGCAATAAAACAGAAAGTTCTCCCAATGGAAGAAAACTCACGAACTTCAGCTGATTAGGATTAGTGTTAAGCAGGGCCTGCAGCCAGCAACAGCTGAGAAGAGAACAGCAACAAACTCCACTCCGACAGGAAGAAAAGAAGCAAACGGCAGCTCTGCAGCTTACCGCAGGTCCTCGCCTCACTGGCCCACACACCAGCTACACCTCCCTTCCCCACTTCCTTCCAGCCCCACACACCAGCTCCCCCTCAACTCTTCCCCCTTCGTTGTCAAGGAGACTAATCTCTCGGCTATTACTGGGCCAGGCCAATTCTTTTGTTCACCTAATGGGCAATATACAGAGCACACACACACACGGCAGGGGGAAGGGGAAGAAAAAATTCTTTGCTAAAATCAGAACTATGACACAGGTTCATTAGAGATAAGTCGGGGGCGACACGTCAATGTTTGAGGGACAGAGTGCTAGCGAGGTCCTTTGGTCTGCCATATCAGCGGAAGTAGGGGATGGAGATCCATACGGCAGCAAGGATGCAAGGGTTATTGATGTGTTAGAAACCCCACAAGTACCTGAGAATGGTGTAACAGTTATTAATATAATAAACAATGAGTCCCATAGGGACCATGAAGACACCAATGTGGTGTGTAAGAAAAGGTAACGTTTATTCAAGGAGTCACAACTTATATAGTAGTTTCAAATGCTGATACGTCACACAGGTAATCTTATCAGCCAATCCCATACAAACATTTCACTGAGCATGTGTGACAGAGTACTTAGAAACTAAAACTCCCAGGATGTTTTGCAGCACCTGGTGTAACTAGACCCCACAATTCCCCCATTTTTATTAATAACAAGATACAAAACAGTGCAAATAAAAAAGGAACAGTACAGTTTTTAACTATTTCTTAACATAACATTTTTCATTTGACATAGTAAACTTATTTCTTGCTTAAACTTTATATACTTAAAAGTTTTATGCAATAACAAAATTTTGTTAATCAAAAAACCTAATTTACCTAAGGGTCTTATGCAATTGGGTAGAATAAAAAATTTTATTATCTGAGGGTCTACACATAACTGGGGAAAACTTACTTTATTAAAACACAAGGAAAATTTTAAAGGAGGAACATCATGTTCTGAGTTCTTTTTCAAGGAGTTGTGGCAGAGGTAGTGTTTGTTGTGTGTGTTTGTTTCAGATATTTGGTATAAGGTGCATATGGTTCACATACATTCATACATTCACACAATCTCTCTTTCACTCATTCTTAGGCAACCGCCTCCATTCTCTCTTCATTCATGCATACCTGTAACCTTTGTTTTCATTTTTCAGCCACACAGGTGAGGTTTTAGGTTGAATGATTAATTATGTGTTTCTCTTTCTTCATTTTCTTCACTTGTCATTTCTGTTGTTTGTTCCTGCTGTGAAAGATACTTAAGATATGACCTTACACACCTGGAAGGAATCCATCTCAATTTAGTACCTGTAGAGACACAAGCATACTCTCTCCCCCTTTTTTGTTGTGAATACTGAGTTAATGAATTCAAAGGTATAATACTGGTAAGTAGCGTGCACATTCCTGAGTGTTCTTAGAAAAATGAATAGGTAGGTTATTATTACAATTTGTTAATTAATAACAATAGAAATTCTTAAAGATGCTAATTACTACTAAAATAAGATAGTTACAAACCTAAACTTATTTAGATACATTTAAGAATTTAACAATTTTAAACAACACTTAGAAAATGTTACTATTAGTAATTTAAACAAAGGTACAGGGAAATTAGGAATTTAAAAATGTATTAACAAGGCAATGTTGAATTTTTATCTCTTATTAATGTAAACATAAAATTAAAGACAGTTAACTAAATTATTTTAGACAAAAACATTTGTAATAATTTTTAAAGACTTATGTGTAAAACATGTAAAAACAGTCAGTACATCTAGTGTCTCTATAGGTTTGGCCCCAGTCTGGGTCCTTGCCGGGGTCCCTGACCCGCTGCAAGGGAGTGGCGGCGCGGACGGGCTGGACCATGTCGCAGAGTGTGGTCGAGAACTCCAGGTACGACCCAACTGCCAGAGTGAGCTGCCCGCGCTCCAGGTGCAGATGGGAGGCGAAGACCCTGGCAACTCTACGCCACCAACACGTGTTCGCTGAAACTGACGCGCAGCCCCAGGCTCTGCCACAGGTCCCACTCCTGCCGCAGGAAGAGCCGCACGGCCTCGACCAGAGCGGTCGCCTTGGCGGGGTCGTGGAATAGGCTCTGCGCGCAGCGCGCCACAGCCAGATGGCACCAGGCGGTGTAGGGTAGACTTTCCTGGGCACGTAGTTCCCGCACCAGTGACACGAACTGCTCCACCGCCTTCGCCACGTTGGGTTTGTGCAGGAACCACCACCGCAGCTTGGTTGACACCAACCAGTACTGCGAGAGGAAGTCACTGTCCCCGCCGTGCCCCGTTCTGGAACCACCCGGCCCGGTGGGGCCGGAGTTGCCACCCGCCGCCAGTAGTCCAGCAGAGTTGTGTGCAGGTCCACCCCCGGCCTGTCTCACTGCGGTTACCGAGTGCCCCGAGACGCCCCGTCACGGCGTCTGGTATCGTGGGCATGCAGTCCTTCAGTTGCATCAGGAAGTTCACGAGCGGCGTGGTGGACACCACGGGCTTCACGTCACCTTTGGTCACAGGCAGGACATACACACAGTTGGACATGACCCCGTTCGGGGGAGCGGCCACAATGGTGGACACTGGTACAGACCCCTTTCTGCTGGCCGTGTCGCCCTCGGCGCCCTGCGCCACCCCAGTTCCCCCGCCCGGCGCTGCCCCAGGCACAGCGCTGCCCACAGTGGTCGGGCTGGGCTTACTGCCCTCGGCGGGCATGGGTGGGGCCACCGCGGTGGGCGCAGGGTTCGCATCGACGCTGCCGCTCATGGCCCTGGCTGCGCTCCTGGAGCCGCCCGCTTCGCCACTCCACGTCGCTCCATCTTTTTTAAACATCGCACCCCTGCTGCTGGTAGGCACAGCAGCTTAGTTACCGGTTCCCAGCACAGACCATGCTTTATGCATGCCTCCAGCAGAGACCGTCTACAAGATGGCCATGAGACAGGAAGAGAAGGTACCACTTCCTGCTCCCGGCATGGATAAGATAGCACTGCCCATGCTCCGGCGTGGTTTCCAAGTGCCTGCAAGCTTGCAATGGCTTGGGGATTCAAAGTCTGTTCCCTTTTACCAGTCACACAATTTGCGACACGCGCCTTCCTCCCAGAACCCACGCATTCGTGAAAATTCAGTACAAAAAGGCATATTCTAAGGCTTTTCTTCCATGCTTTTGGCAACCCCCCCCCTTTCCACATCGTAGAACCACGTGGAGTTTTATGGCTGGTAATGTTTGGGGGAGGGGAAGATTTAAAGTTTTTTTCTGTGGACGAGTTCTCTTGCGAGGGTTTTAAAGTGTCCATTTTCTTTACTTCTACTTTTTCTCTGTTTCTCCACCCTTCTTTCCAAACAGTTTCACTAAGAATTGTAAACAATACCAGTCCTACAACAGTTATTTTCGTCAATTTTAAAAGTTCAGCTATTTTATGTCTGTTAACTTGTCTCCAAAGTCTTTTCAATATTAAGCTTAAGGCTTTTGCAATATTCTGTGGTTCATGTGAATTAAAAGTTTTCATTTTTTCTCTTTTTTTTCTTTTTTCTCCCTCCCTCTCACCTGGGACGTAGATTTTTCTTCTCGAGAGTGTCCTCTCAAAACGTAGGCAATTTCCTACCGAGTTCAGACCTTTTTTCTTTTGCGCATTTTCTCCGAGTTCACTCGTAGTTCTCACCACTGACGCCCATCTAAGGATTCTTTTCCCTGGTACCTGTCATTTGCTTTTTTACGACGGACGTCCCTCAGCGTTACTATAGGCTGGTACCTGACATCTGGTCCATATTTGTCCCTGATTCAGGACAAGGTTTATGCCCCTGTTCAGGAACGCCAAATGTAGCAGTTATTAATATAATAAGCAATGAGTCCCATAGGGACCATGAAGACACCAATGTGGTGTGTAACAAAAGGTAATGTTTATTCAAGGAGTCACAACTTATATAGTAGTTTCAAATGCTGATACGTCACGCAGGTAATCTTATCAGCCAATCCTATACAAGCATTTCACTGAACATGTGTGACAGAGTACTTACAAACTACAACTCCCAGGATGCTTTGCAGCACCTGGTGTAACTAGACCCCACAGAACGGTCTCGCAGAAATTAGGGCTTGTCCCCACAAAAAGGCGTCAGGGTCCTTAGCCAAACTGAAGTGCATCTACATCAATGCACACAGCATGGACAACAAACAGAAGGAGTTGGAAGTCATGGTGCAGTAGGAAAACTATGACATAGTTGCCATTACAGAAGCACAGTGGGATGACACGCAACTGGAGTGCTGCAATGGATGGCTATAAACCCTTCAGAAGGGATAGGCAAGGAAGGAGAGGTGATGGGGTAACCCTGTAGGAGTGTCTTGAGTGTCTGGAGCGTAATGATGGTGACGCTAGGGTTGAGTGTTTATGGTTAAGAATCGAGGGGAAGGCCAACAAGGCAGAGATCATGGTGAGAGTCTGTTACAGATGATACCTTGGAGTTTTGATGTTTTAATTTTTTTTATTTTTGTAGACCTTAGAAGTAGTTATGTAGTAAATGTAGATTTTAGAGTAGCAGCATATTATCCCTTTACCCTTAACACACCAGCTCAAACCCCTGTTACCCATTCCCATATCAATTCCCTAAATTCCATAGCCTGTTTAGTCTCTTTTTCAAGGTAGAATTGTAGAAGAACACCCTAACCCTACGGAACAAGATATAGCCATAGACCCAACAACCTTCAGGCCTAGAATTCTGGAAGGCCTCCAAGGACATTACGTGCTCTGAGGAAGATGAAGATGAAGAAGAGGGGGTCCCAAAATGCCCCCAGACCCAATTCTCAAGAGGCGTGGCGGGGGCAGAACCTGGGTGGTGGCTGGACTGGATTGGGTGAAAATCATTATAAAAACTGTGGACATCTGTATTTCGAGAGCGCTGGGGTATTCCAGAAAGCCTGGGGGCTCATTAAAACTTTTGTATCCTTATCTTATCTCCTACCTAATTTGGCTTGGAGTCTTTTTTTCCCCACAACCATTTAGGCAACACAGACCACCCAACCAGGATGAAGAGGTAGATTAAATATTTCATAAGCAGTTAGGAGAAGTCTCATGACTACTAACCCTTGTTCTTGTGGGGGGCTTCAACTCACCAGATGCCTGCTGGAAATAAAATACAGCCAAGAGGAAGCAGTCTAGGAGGTTCCTGGAGTGTGTGGAAGACAACTTCCTGACACAGTTGGTGACTGAGTGTAGTGGGTTGACCCTGACTGAACGCCAGGTACCCACTAAAGCCACTCTCTCATTCCCCTCTGCAACTGGACAGAGGAGAGAAAAAAAACAGTGAAGGATTCATGAGTTGAGATAAGAGCTGGGACAGGTCACTTACTGATCACCATCATGGGTAAAACAGACTCAAAGTAGGGATATTTATTGAATTTATTGCAAACCGGATCAGAGCAAAAGAGGGAGAAGTAAAATAATCTTAAAAACACCTTCCCCCCACCTCTCCTTCTTTCCAAACTCTATCTTCTCCCCCCTCAACGGTGCAGTGAGATAGGGAATGGGTGTTACGGTCAGTTGTTTCTACCTCTGCTCAGGGAGACGAGCCCTTCCCCTGTTTCCTGTGGGGTCCCTCCCATGGGAGACAGTCCTTCACAGACCTCTCCGACGTGAGTCCATCGCACAGGCAACAGTTCTTCATGAAACTGCTGTCCCCTGGGTCACTACTCCATGGGGTGCAGTCCTTCACGGATGAGCTACTCCACTGTGGGTCCCCACAGGGACCACAAGTCCTACCTGGGAAAAACCTGCTCCAGCATGAGCTCCTCTCTCCACAGGCTGCAGGTCCCCAGCAGGACCCTGGTCCATCTTGCACCTGCCATGGGATCACAACCTCCTTCATTCATCTACCTGCTCCATCATGCGCTTCTCCATGGGTTGCAGGTGGGTCTCTGCACCCCTATGGTCCTCCATGGGCTGCAGGGGGACAACCTGCTCAACCATGGTCTTCACCACGGGCTGCAGGGTCCTCAGCTCCTGGAACACCTCCTCCCCCTCTTTCTGCACTGACCTTGTTGACTACCCTGTTGTGTGAGTAGATAGGGTCTGGCGATCGGAAGATTTCGGTTTGTTACGGAAAGATAGGGACCGACCCCCTACCAGGGACCACCCCCTCCCATACCTGGCAGCCAATAATAGATTAGGTGACTTCACAAGCAGACGGAAATGACGGTGTAACTTAGCATTATAAAAGACTGTGTTACAAGGTAATAAACGCCATTTGCCGTCCACCACATTGGTGTTTATGAGTTAATGGCCCGAGTGACTGAAAGATAGTCACCGTGCTTTCCCTGAACCAGGTCGTCACGCAACACTGTTGTTCCCATGTTCTCACTACACTCTTCCCTGGCTGGAATTCTCATCTGCACAACAACCTTCTGTTCTTAAATATGTTATCACAGAGGCATTACTATCACTCCTGATTGGCTTGACCTTGGCCAGTGTCAAGAAGCCCATCCTGGAGTTGACTGGCATTGGTTCCACCAGACAGGGGAAGTTTCTAGTAGCTTCTAAGAGAAACCACCCCTGTAGTACCGTCCCGTCTGTCCTCCCACCGACCGCTACCAAAACCCAGCCACAGAAACCCACTACACTGAGTCAACTAGGGAAGGCACCCTGTTGGACCTGTTGTTTGTGAACAGAAAAGGACTTGTGGGTGATGTGATGGTTGGAGGCCGTCTTGGGCAAAGCAACCATGAAATGATAGAGTTTTCAATTTTTGGAGAAGTGAGGAGTGGGGTCAGCAGAAATGCCACCTTGGACTTCCAGAGGGCAGACTTTGGTCTTTTTAGGACCCTGGTTGGGAGAGTGTTTTGCCAGGGGATGAGAGTCAGCACAAAAAACACGTACACCAACTTTAAAGAACAGGTGTGTAATTTTACTATAGTGCAAACCAGTAAAGAATTACAAAAGGATAAACTCAGCAATGCACCTAATCATTACAACAAAGAGTGCCTATAGTGATTAAGAAAGACACATCACCAGTTACCCTGATACAGTACCGTAATCAACATCCATACCCGCATCAACTGGGGAGACCCGGTCGCAGCAAATGGTCAGAGAATCACTCCTGGTAACTGGAAAATCCTACGCAGTGCATCCACTTGTAGGTGAGGTCTCCATCCTTGCTGCGAAAGGGTTCAGCTTTTATATTGTTAAACAAACAAGCTTACATAATCACTAGTGCAGAAAACATCTGGTTTCCATCTCTCCTTGGGTTTCTCCCACAACCTGGTCAGGGTTCAGAGGAAAATCAAGGGAATCAGTTTTGACCATCTACTGCCAAACAAGGCCAGACATCTACTTCCATGACCTTGACCAGTCTCTAAATACAGAAAGATAAATGCATTCATATTTCATTAATGAGCAGATGCAAACGTTCACTAATAAGCAGATACAAATATATCTTACTAACAAACATACATGTTTACACAGGTGTAGTCTTATCATACTATGTATTTTACTAATGATTATACATAATTGTGACTAATAAGCAGATACATGGCTAAATATAACATTAGGTCGGAAGGTTCATCTAGAGGTCAACTCTGGTTCAGGGCCTGTTGTTCAGGCCTCAACACTTCAATCGGTCCTTTGACCTATAGATGAACTACAACCTCCATAACGGTGCACCTACTGTTACAATTTTGGATTTGGGTATTAAACATAGAGGCAGTGCCTCTGGGTCTTTGATTAACTGCTGTTTCTGCTCATTACTCAGCGTTATAATTCACATCCTTTTCAAAACATACT